TGAAAAAATGTTTTGTGTTTATATCTCAGTGGTGATCTTATGGCTCCTCGTATTCCTAAGCCTTTTTCTTTCTTTTTTTTTAAGTTAACGTCTTGCCTACCTTGTACCCTTTCCCTCCTTGTGTTCTCCCCTTCTTTCTGTAATTCCACTGGTTCTCAAAAATCTGCTGGTTCTAAAATTTTGAGAACAACTACCCATAAGAATTATGGCATGCTCCCATGTAGGGATATGTGCAGTTTTTAAGTCCTATACATTGTTTAGAAAAGGAGGGTGAGGCTGACATACTGGCAGCAGAGTTAGACAGTTTACATTCTCTGAAAACTGGTGAGAAAGTAGGAGAAAGCCCTGCATAGGAAGGCATAGCAGCTTCAGCTTTCAGCTCTCTTCTGCTCCTTGCCCTGTCACCCATTTTGTTGGTTTCACTCCAGAATGGAATACGGGGGATTTTTTTTTTTTTTTTTGTCTTTGTGGGGAGGGAAGGGTTTGGGTAGGTGCCAGTTCTAGACAGTTCGGCCTATTAAATGATTATTCCTTTCTTCATCATATTACATTAATCAGTCATTTAGATCAGACTTAAACTCTTAAACTACATTCAGGTGGCCCAGTGACTTACTGTATCTATATAATTCTGTATTTTCTACTTCATTCCTGAATTGGGGACTTGACATCTGGGGAAAGCTCACAAAGACTGTTTCTGTTATTAGCTGTGACAAATGATTTATGGACATTCCTTTTCCAGTATTTCCTGTCCTCTTTTTTTATTTTGTTCTTTTTCTTTCAGAAAATTTGGGTGGTAAAGTACCAGATTGCAGGCAGTCAGTCATATGAGAATTTGAACCTCAAAACATGTACTGGTGATCCAAAGACAGGGAAGAGTTAAGTTATAGGAATAGATGATTTTTAGAGATGGGCCAAGTGAAGTGCCAGATCAGTGGGTTGTCGTAGCCAGTAGGCCTTGAAGTAAGGAGTAGGGACCTAGTGCCGGGTAACTTCCTCCATGCTTCCAGATGAGAAGTGCACCCCATTACCACCTTAAGCTTCTACTTCTGACGCTCATAAAATTAAAGGAATGGCTCGATGTGTAAAGCTTATCCCAACTTTAGGCCTGTACTATTACTCTAAAAAAAAAAAAAAAAAAAAAAGATGAGGCAAAAAGAAACTGTGAAAGGTGTTTGGCAACGAGCAGGAGAGGTGCTCACAGACTCTTTGATGGTCAATTAGCCAGAAAATGTGCTAAAGACTGGGTGCTGTGCTGGATTATGGGTCCAGGAATGACCCTGAGGTCCTGAGTGGCCCTGCCGTTAGAGCAGAGACGATTATAGACCTTGAAAAGATGCCACAAAGGCTTTAATTAAGGGGCTTACTCACACCCCACTAAGTTTGGGAAATTAAACTCTTATTTGTGCTTAACTGATTTTTTTTTGGGGGGGGGGGGGAGTCTGGGCTTCCACATGTATTTCAACAAGAGCACAATTTCCCCCAGATCTATTTTGTGCTGGAAGCCATTTTTCCATGGTGGCTATCAGCAAGCTGAGAGTTTAATCAGCACGGGGACCTTGGTGCAGGGGTAGGCTGGAGAGGCCTTTTGCCTGGGTGGGGTGCTTAGGACATAGGTGGGACACTGTACTGTTTGTTTATACATTTTGATATACCAGGAAGTCATGATCTCTATTTGGACTTAAATACTCAAATAAAAGAAAACTAATTAATGTATTCTTCAGAATTTGAATTTTAGAATTCCTCTTCACAAGACAATATGATTCTCTTTGAATTGGCAACTATGTGTCTCTAGACACAGGATGTGCTCTTTCCAAAAATGTTTTTGTTTGTCAGTGAGATAAAAGTAGCCTTTGGAAGTTGGCTACCGTCCAGGTCTGAGTTTTCCTAAGCCTGGACCCATATTTAGTTCCATTCTGATATAACTGCTTTTATTTCTGGACAGATTGCTGTTTAAGATGCATCAGTCCTACCTAGCACGTGATGATCACATTGATCCACCTAAGTTACTGAGCTAAACTGCCCTCCTTCTGTTAGCATTGGGGACTTTCTCACCTTTGAACTTTCAAGACTGATTAATGTTTAGTGGGGTGTTTCCCCTTTGTTAGTGAAGCAATTCTGCCTGTAAATTAGAAAACCAAAATTAAAAACCATAAAGGTTTTGAAAACGCTAAGAAATGCTTATGTTTTAGTAATTTTAATTTTTTTTTTTTCAGCATTTCTAGTTCACCTATAATGTCAGTCAAGTAGCACATCTTTTAGGATCCGTCTGTTGCCCTTGATAACTTGAATCCTTTTGTATGCTGCTCAGTTTGTATAGATCTAGGACAACCTCAGCCTTGCTCTAATTGAGGCAAAATGCAGAAATGCTAAGTATTTGTATCATAATCTGACCTTGTAGAATTGAAAAAAGGACAAGAGAAGTTAAAGTTGTCATCACAGCTTGAAGTGTGCAGTTTTCAGCAGAGTGAAGTTCATACAGAAATCCCAGTGTTGGGTTTAATGTTTACATTGTAAGTGGGTGGGGGAGACTGTTTATTGAGAGAAAGGACAGCAGCCTCTTTAATGCCTGCTCCACTGGGATTCAGTGAAGACCTTCTGGATGCCCTTATGACTCAGATGGGTTCATGTGCTATGGTGAAAACCTTTTTTTTTTTTTTTTTTCATTTTGGTACTGAGGATTGAACCCAGGGGCACTTAACCACTGAGTCACATCCCCCCAGGCATTTTTATTTTTTATTTTGAGACAGGGTCTTGGTAAGTTGTTTAAGGCCTCACTAAGTTGTGAGTGGCTGGCTTTGAACTTGCAGTCTCCTGCATCAGCCACCCCAGTTGCCAGGATTACAGGTGTGTGCCACCATGCCCAGCTCTAGGGTGAAAACTTTTGGCATTTGCCATTTAGAATACTGTCATACTTGGCGATATGATATCTTAAGGCATCATGCAAATTTTACTTCTCTTTGCTTGTCTTTAGAAAAAGAGAAAATTGTATTTGGTGACATAAATATTTTGTTTGACCATATACCTGCCTAGTTAATGAGCTTAAGCAAAGTTTGATCCAACTGTCTCTAGAGAGAGAGAATGCAAGCTGGCAACTAAAGAAGGTATCTGAATTTTGCTAGAAAGTGCTGATCCAAAGGTTATATGAAGTAAAAATTCTGAGTTCTTATCTCTCAGGCTTTATTTTGCTAACATTTGCCAGAATGAGCACATCTGGCTTAGATTCGAAAATAGTTTGGTTTTATGCTTCAGTAAAAATGAACCCAATCAAATTGAAATTGAAGATAGACAAAAGGAAAGATTCTGGTACAGCAAGGTTATCAGGGAAGGTCTTCAATATTTCCTTTCTGAGGGGCCTTTTAACCTAGGCCAGTGTCTTTCTCGGAGGGTGTGTGTGTTCAGCTCTGTTGTATGAAGGGGTGCTGGGTGATGGGAGAAGGGAGCCCCAACAATCTCTGAGGTTTATGGTTTTATCAGCTTGGGTTTGTCAGTCATAATGCTGACCATTGACACTTTATACAAATTCCTTGGTTTATCATTTGAAAATTTCTTTTGCTTTCTGGTTGGGGAGATAATCATTAGATTTTCATTTTAATAGAATTAAAATATACCATCTTTATCAGACTAAGCAATAATTCATGTCTCACCAGGATTTTGTATTATCTATCCAGTTTGGTTTCTGAATTATTTCATTTGATTCCCTTCTTCACCCCTTTTCCTAAGTGTGGATTAAGTACTTAAATGCAATTCACTGGAACTCTTGCTTTGACCATGAAACAGAATTGTTTAGCTTGGCAGACATGAGAAACAGACCACCTTACATTCTGTCCAGATTCTTAGGGTTAAGGACAATTAAAAATATTTTTCAGGTCTTTCCCAGAAATATAAAAAACATCTTTCGATACTGACTGAAAAATATGTACAATTCTGTGCATCTGTGGTATTAACTTGACAGTAGCAGATTTTCCCTCCCTTCCAACCCTATTTTGTAGTTCCTAATTATGCTGACCTTGAAGCCATTTGGAGACTCAGCAGCTTGCTCTTCCATAAATAATGCACTCACTCTGAGTGGCAGGCCGGAGGCTTGTGGCCCGGCTCTACTGGGTATTTATAGTTCATGCCAGTAAACGTGGCTTGAATCAGCCAGGAGCTGTGGGCCTGACCCTTTTCAAGTGGGTGGCTAGAGAAATGAGTCAGCATTATTTTAAACTTCAGTAGAGTCCAGGGCATGAATACGCTCCTGTGGCACTGGTAATTTAGCCACTAGTGAAATGGGCCTATATGTTTGGTTTGTAGCCAGTTAAATCTTGAGAACCGTTACTGATTGGCGAATTGTGTCAGTGCATTGGCTCTCAGATGAAGAGAGAACTTTCTGCCAGGCTTAAAGTAAAGCAGGGATCAGCTTGGACTTGTTGGGTCTGGCCTTTGCTCTGGTTTTGCAGAAGATGCTCCAGAACTGCTTAGGAAGCTCTTTTCAGACGGGAACATGGGTCGCCTTCTGGCAACGCAGCCTATAATTAGCCAATGCGGTTCCCTGTAGCTTGTGAGGACACTGCAGCTTGGGTTTCTCCATGTAATCAGGTAGAAGGAGTGATGTCACTGGAGTGAAGTAATCCATTGTGGACATGGTGTCAGGTGTTCCACAGCTCCTTCCTCCCACTCGGCATCCTATCTGCATTTCATTTTTCCCCTTTGTCCTTTGAAGGACAGTTCCAGGTACTCAGGCTCTCCTGACTGTGTCCTCAGCCTCCTTTATTTCATACTTCCTGCTCGGACCCCTGTGATGAACACACAGGGCCCTTATTTTCCTATTCATCCCTAACTTTTCCTCCTAGGAGTTCCTTGATGTGATAACTTCTTGTTAACACTAGAGAGTATGAGGACTGCTTTCTTAGCCTGTGCTTTAAAGAATAGTTATTTTTAAAGTTGACTTGTGGGCTTTTAGTGTTAAATGTCTATTGACATTTTGCCAGAAGAAACATTGATTTTTCTCTCTTTTTCAGGCCCTGCTTTCTTCCCTGGGCGATGTGCTGAGATCTTTGCCAGGGGTCAAAGCATTGGGAAGCTCGGAGTCCTTCATCCTGATGTTATCACCAAATTTGAGCTGACCATGCCCTGCTCCTCCCTGGAAATCAATATTGAGCCTTTTTTGTGAGGATGGATCTCTGTTGTATGGTTCTGTCCCCTAGTGTCCCTTTCTCCTCCTCTGGTGTCCTCTCCTCCTCCACAGGGTGCATCCATTTGTGTTTTAATGTTTAATAAAGTAAAAAGCTCCGCCTGCCTCCCTGGGTAGCTTGCATTGGGCTGGCGTGTGCAGTGTGGAACGTGTCTGTGTGCTTTCTTGGATGAGCACCAGAGGAGTGCACTGGGGGTGCAGGTCCGTCTGGAAGCAGAAGTGCTCCTCAGACAGCAGGTTTCTCCTTGTCACCCGTAGCTCCTGCATAATAGGATCCCACTTTTTTTTTACCCCTTATGGGTGAAACAGGATAATTAGAACACACATCTCACAAATGTGAGATAGCTTTTATTTTCTTCATTTGGCATGTGTTTTCCATTGGGAACAACAAAATAACAATATTTTTAGAAAACTTCTAAGACAACTACAGTCGAGCAATTATCATTTTTGAAGCCTTTTTAAAGTGAAAGAAAAACCTGAAACACAAATATTTAAAACACGAGAACATGAAGGTGTTTTTCTACTCTGTGATAATCCTGAGTACATGCACCATAGATCTGTTCTGCTACAAGAGTTAAAATGGGCAAGTGTTGATCCAGTGCAGTGTGAACATTAGGACAATGAAAAACTAATTTTTGCATTAATCCTTATGTAATAAGTCAGTTATCAAATTATGGTTTTAAATACTTAATTGAGCTACTAGTTTCTGCTTATTTTATAGGGAAGTATAATTGCTGTCCTCTGAAGCTAAACCCCTGCCAGTTCTCCTTGTCTTACATCTTATTTTCCTTTCCTGCTTTAATCTAGAATCCAGCTCAAGTACTAAGTGCTGTCTCTTGAAAACAGAATCTGGATCTAATGTTTGGTAGAATTTCCCAGTGACTATTGAGATGATAGAAGCTTGGGGGTGTAGCCCAGTGGTAGTTGGTGTTTGACTAGCATGTGTGAGGCCCTGGGTTCAATAACCAGCACCGTAAAAAAAAAAAAAGAAGAAGAAAAGAGACATGATAATAAAATGTAAAAGTTTGGGTAGCAGTAAAATAACTGAAAAGATAATGGAACAAGAATTATGTTTATGGAGCTTCTGCTCCGCCTACTAAGAAAAACCCTCACCATATTACAGGGAATATGCTTTGCCTCAGTAGGGAGCATTGTTTAACATAGTAAAATTTTGCATGTAAGACTTCCACCTTAACTTCCCAGTTCTTTTGTAAGTAGACCTTTATTTACATTGTAAAAATGAAGTGAGATACAAGTCAGAGGGCTTGTATCCAGCATACATAAAGAATTTTTACAACTTATTTATCAAGCAATCCTGTTTTCAAAAAATGAATAAAAGAATAGAAAAAAAACATTTCCTAAAAGAAATATGAATCTGTGCAAAGACACACAACCGCATTAGTCATTGGAAAAATGCAAATGAAAACCACATTAATAAAATACTGCATACCATCAAAATGTCTAGATTTTAAAAGACTGATCAGGTGTTAGACAAGTGGAATTATCATGCACTGCTGTTGAGAGTATAAAATGATAAACCAAATTATCATGCACTGCTGTTGAGAGTATAAAATGATAAACCATGTAAGAAAATAGTTGGCAGTTTCTTAAAATGTGAAACACCTACTACCCAGCCATTACTTCTAGGTTTACCCGTAAGGCCATCCACACAACAATTTTTGTGCAGATGTGTAGTGTTATAGTAGTTATAAATTGCAGTATATTCATTCTGTGGAGTACATCTCAGCAATACACAGGAACTGCTGGTGCTCAAACAACACAAATGAATCTCAAAGCATTATGTTAAGTGAAAGAAGCCAGATGCAGAAAACTATGTACAGGTAATTCCATTTATATGAAATTCTAGAAAAGTCAAAAGCAAATTAGTTGGTAGGATCTCCAAGTGGAATTGTAAAGAGTTTAGAGGACACTTTGGGTAATGAAGATTTATCCAGCCCCCTAGATAATTTTTGAATGGCCAGAAACTACTTGTATTGATTATTCAGCATGAAAGGGGAAAGATCAACTCCATGCATTTTATAGATGTCTCTGCCCTCTGAAGCAGGAAACTGAGAAGAAAAACCGAATTGGCCACAATAGAAGAGGCAAACCTAGCTTATGAGTGGAGGCTCCACAGCGAGACCATCTTAAACTTGTCCTGGATAAAACATTTGAATTGGAGCCAAGGTAGCTTGCCAAAAGCCTTTATTAGAGGAGACACATCTTAGTAGAAGCTGGCAGCTCAGGTATTATAAGGAAAATTAAATATAATTGATTTTTGTTCTAGTTTACAGATGACTCCACTTCTATGGCCTGACAGTCCTGCATCACTCTTCTGTTTATAGTCTTCCCACATCTGATCTGGTTTCACGTGTGTGTGTGTGTGGGGGGGGGCGGTTAACAGTCATAGGAAGTAGAATGAAATTCTCTTGGCTGGAAACAGTTGAGTCTTGGAGAGAGTAATGACTTGCTCAAAGGGCAAATAGCAGTAGATGTGATCGAGACACCTAATAACAACTTGGAGTCCATGAGTCAGTGGTTTTGCATCATTTACCTTTTTAGCCAACTGTTGAGACTTCACAAGTTTCTTCTAAATATAACAAATCCTGAAAAACAAAAAGGTAAGACTTCTACTTTAAAAAGTTGTACAGTTGGGCACAGTGGCATATGCCTGTAATCCCAGCTGTTTGGGAGGCTGAGGCAGGAGGATCACAAGTTCAAGGCCAGCCTCAGCAACTTAGTGAGACCCTGTCTCTAAATAAAAAATAAAATGGTCTGAGAATGTGGCTAAATGATCCCCAAGTCAATCCTAATGCCAAAAACAAAAGTGCAAAGTAAGGCCTTCCCAAACTAACCTTTACTTTCCCCCCTAATTCCCTAAATTAACTTCACTGTTAACAATTTTGGCCTCCACTGTTTCTGACATCTTCCTGTGTTTAACAGTCAGCCTCACAAACTCTCAAATTCTTTTGGGTCATGCTCTACTTACTGGTTTGCCACAAGTTTTATTGTATCTCATGTTTCATTTAATATGGCTTATTTTTCCAGGTTACCTCATTCTTTCAGTTGACGCAATATTCTCTTGTATGGATGTCCGTGAATTGGTTCAGCTATTTCTCTGTTGATGGTCATTCAGTTATTTCCAACCCTTTGCAATTATAAACAATGTTCCAATGAAAACTAGCACTGGCTTAGGGCCCAAGAAAAACCAGTCTTTATGGATACAACTGTATAAACATTCACATTTGGCATGTGATAGGCACACTTAAAGATGCATGGGGTTAATTAGATATTTCTTAGATGTGACTATTAACACTTGAACAACATAATATTCCCTTAGCTTACATTCCTACATGTAAATGTTGCCAGGTCAAAGGATGCATTTTGAATTTAAAACATATTGAATGACTATTTTTACATTTTAAACAGGAGGAGCCTAAGTAGAAACCAGCCAAACTGCTGTTCCTGCTCTCAGCTCATTGGATTAGTAAGAAAGAACATTACTCAAAATTTTGCTTCTTAATCTTAGCCTCTGTGCTTGGTATTTTGTGAAAACATCAATAACAACACTTGGATGTTGGCTTGGGCTCTTCTCTCCATTTTATCCAAAAGCAGACAGATGGTCTTAATAAAATATGCCCTCTTAGGGACTGAAGCATTTGACCCCATCTGATATCTCCCAAGTTTTGGTTTCCTATGTTATTAGGACCTTAATGTATATTGTAATGGACTGAATGTGTCTTCCCCCAATCCATCTGTTGAAGCCCTAACCCCACAATGTGCTGGTATTTAGAGATGAGGCTTTTGAAGGTAATGAGGGCTAGGTGAGGTCATGAGGGGGAACTTGTGATGGGATTAGTGCCCTTGGAAATGACACTATAGCGCTGGCTCTCATCTCCCCTCTGAACACAGAAAAAAGGTTCCCATGAGCACACAGTGAGACAGTGGCTATTCATTGTGGCCCAAAGAATGAGATCTACCTTGCTGGCATCTTTATCTTGAACTTCCAGACTTCAGGACTATGAAAATAAATTTCTGTTGTTTAAGCCACCCAGCCCATGGTATTTTGTTATGGAAGCCCGAGCAAAGACAAACTGAACATTACATTTAAGAAAACCAAAGACTGGGGCTGGGATTGTGGCTGAGTGGTAGAGCATTCGCCTAGCACGTGTGAGGCCCTGGGTTCCATCCTCAGCACCACATATAAATAAATAAAATAAACATATTGTGTCCAACTACAACTAAAAAATAATTTTTTTAAAAAGTAAATACTCGCATGTATAATAAAACTAAAGGCAGCAGTGCACCTCTGGGTGCCTGTGAGCAGCTCCCTAAGACCCTTGACCAGAGTCAGTGTGGGGAACGTGACCTCTTTGGACAAAAGTAGGGGAGTCAAATGACCTTGCTTGCCAAGAAGGGCAAAGTCCATGCAAAGCAGTCTTAGTCTCCTTTACAGTCTGCTTTGATTTTCTAGCAGACAGAACAACCAAATGTTATAGCCAGACTGTGGATTGAAAAAATGTCTCCAGCAAAGGGTTCATGAAATTGTGTCTGGCCAAAAGCCTTGAGTTTTTTCCACCCCCATGTGATGAATGCAGTGTTAGAACATGTTCAGTCTTCGGGACGGTGGCACATGCCTGTAATCCTAGCAACTCAGGAGGCTGAGCCAGGAAGATCTCAAGTTCAAAGTCAGCCTTAACCACTTAGTGAGACCCTGTCTCAAAAAAAATAAAAAGGGCTGGGGAATGTGGCTCTGTGGTTAAGCACCCCTGGGTTCAATCCCTAAAACCAAAAAAAAAAAAAAAAAGTTCAAGGACAACACTCGAGTTTTTCACATCTCATTCATAAGGTTCAAACTTCATTGTTGATTCAGGAGGCCAGGAACATGGCATGATTCTGCATTAGAAAACATTTTGAAACAGCCCATCAGTGTCAGGAGGCAGTGGCAAGGCTGAGAGCAACTGCAGCACTGGGATTGGAGGATTTGTGAGTGCCAAGTAAATCAGGCCATTAAGACAGCATGAAGATGTGGGGGAAATGTGACTTTTCTATAGCCAAAGAAATTTTCTACTTCCCACAAGCCTCCACTTTCTGTAGTGAACAATGAAAATATGCCCGTCCCTAAATAAGCATCTCCTAAGGGCTGACAGGAAGCCTTGGGTGGAAGTAAGCTTGTGTAATCACCCTTTTTTGGTGCTGGGTAGATACCATGTCACGTCCCAGCTAGAGATGGGCGGGGTTAATCAGAGATCTCCTGACTGTGAGTCTTGGTCAGAACATTTAAGCAAGAAGCACTTGGGGTGGCTTTGAGGCAGGTGGAGCAAGATGAGCCAGACAGAGAGGCGTCTCATAAACAAACCGTGCTGTAGGAAGATCATTTATGCGGGATGACTTATGGAAAGCACTGGGCCCAGCTGTCACACAGAGGGCCTGGGCTGGGGTTTGTATAGGGGGCATAATGGAAATCCCTTTTTGATCTTCGAGAAACTTCAACATCTTTTTATCAGTACTTAATTAAGATGTCTAAATGGCTTGCGTTTCGTGTACTCTGTGTATAATTTGTCCTGTGTGACTGAGGGACGCGGCAGCCTGGAAGCCCAGGAGACCTCAGTCCTCCAGGCTCATGCATACAGGTAGAAGAAATGACTTGTGCAACAGCCCTCAGAGCCACCCTGCTGCCTCATCAAGGACCTCGGGCCAGTGCTGTGTATATTAAAGAGGTATTGACATTCTTTGAACACCTGCATTAGGAAGACTCTGACCAAGGGGAACTGTATGTCACAGCAAGAGAGAAAGCAAGGCCGGCAGATGCGTTAAGGCTGCATTCCCACCGAACTCCAGCTACACCCTTGCTTTTCTTGTTTGTTTTTGCATGCCATATAGACAGGCGTGAAAAAGGAAGAAGAATTTTTGGCTTCGTGTAGCTCCCTTGTCTCATGTGGCTGCAGTTTTAAGAATTTAACATTCTATTCATGGCCCACATTCAACTCTCATTCTTAATATGCATCTGTAAATATTTAAATATGTCCTACAGGTGTGCCCCACTTTAAGAAAACAAAGGATTCATGGTGCACCCCAAGTAATTTATTAAAGCCTTATGTTTAGAGAAACGAAGGATAGCCATATGAGTTTTAAACAGCAAACCCTTCAGTGAACTTAAAGTCTGAAAAATAAAAGCAGCTTTGAGGAAAACATCTATTGTGTAAAATAAGGCAAGCGGATACCACTATTTCACTTGGTTCTGCCCCTTACTAGAGAACCAGGGCTTCACTAGTAATCATCAGAGAGAGAGCCGGGGGCACTGAGTTCCCCGCAGGAGGCAGGATCATGGAAATATTCTACAAGTTTCATTTCACAGAACTAGTTCAGGGAACTGGGCAAAGACAAGACTGAGGAACACAATGGGCACAAAGGACACAGATGCTGGTCATCTCCACCCAGGGCTCTCTGGGAACAAGGTTGTGAGTAAGCAATTCAGAGGTGTAGAAGAGGAAGGAGTCTGAAGTCACCTGTAGATGTCACCTCATTTTTAACACAATATCCATGCGAGTTTACTTTGGTTTTTCCTTGTAAGCACTGAAGGTATCTGGGGAAGCACCTCTGGTCAGAGCTGATCCCACATGTTCTTTAAGCCTGGCTCATACATTGCTTGTGTTGCTGCAGTCCTCCACCTGGAATTAATCTCCCCCTCCTCTCAAATCCCATGACACGGTATGTTTTCCCTACAGTCTTAACACTTCAGATCTTGAATTGTAATTCTCTGAGCCTGTGTCTTCTCTCTCCTTGGAGAACTCCACAGGACAGGTTGAAGTTGCCCATTCCAATGATGCCTGGCATCATAGGTAATAAATGCATCCTGCTCACAGTACAAAGAGACTCCTAGACTGCTCTTGCAAATGTAAGTGTCAACTTCTCATACCATTTCAAATAGCAAACTGGGGTACTTGGAGGCAGAGCACGTTGCAATTGTTACTTTGGCTTAGCAGATAGTGCACTCACCTTACCAGCAGCAGCTCTAATACGCCTTCCAACACAGAGTGAAATTTATCTCATTTACAGTAAAAGGACATAGAGGTGGGCACTTAAGCATGCCAGTGTAATATTTCCACTAATCATGCGTGACCACTATGGGGCTTACTGGTATTTGCATGTGATTGAATCATGATAACAGAATCATGCAACTTGCTACTTACCTTTATCCCCTTTTTCCAACTCAGGTCCAGTGAACTCAGAAAAACGATCCAGGGTAAGGAGGAAAAAATCCAAAGGAACAGAACATTGGCTTTTGAAGCATTTAATAAGAAGTCAGAATCAAACAAAAATGATTTATTTTAAAAAGAATAAATTTACATACCGTACATAAGCAAGACAGCTGAAGGCTTCCAAAATAGAAACCTGGAACACATGGTCCTGAAACACCACATGCTTTGATTACACTTGGGGAGCATGAGTTGTCTATTTGGGCAAGAAAATCCCATGTTTCAGTGAACAATTGAGCATGTGCTGGAGCAATTTCCTCCTCTGCCATTGAAGTCCCCTTTAGTCCAGAGGTCTCTTCTATGCCCCCCCCAATGTATTGTTATGATGCAGATTTGAGCAAAACTGTCATGAAATGACAGCTTCTCGGAATGAAGGTTAAAGGATGAACACCACAGACCATAGTGACAGTGAGCTGGGGGTGGCATGGGGACAATCAGGAAAAGGGTGTGTCGTTCTGTCTATCTCCCTGGAGGCTTGGCATCAAGGTTGGCTGGGCCACGTAGGTTTACATTGGACACATTGTGGGAAGCTGGATTTACAGTCTTAATCTCTGAAATTCCAGATCAAGAGAGGGGCTTTGGACCAAGACTAAAGCCAAACCAGCAGGGGGCAGTCTTCCCCCAGAGAGGAAATGCACACTTCATCAAAGGAGACCCCCGCCCAGCTCCCTGAAGAACACTTTGTGGGAGGTGTGGTGGTGGTGGTGGTGTAAGTAGCGGGAAGTTCTGTATGAGAGATGCATGGAAGAGGGACAGCAAGGTAGCATTTGAATCAAGAAATGACATTTTTTCAATTGGTTTCTGCCTGATTCTAGGCCATAGACCAGAAGTCCCTCAAACTATGTATGCTTGGCCTCACCAACATACCCTTATTCTCCAGTTGCTGTGATCAGATATTTTAAAAAATGACCAATCATGACATCCTTCTTTAATGTTCCGTGGCTAATACATTCATCTTCCACTCAAATTCTGTAAATATAGCTTTGAATACATCCATATAATGGCTTAACCTTCCTATTGTTGGGACTTAAAAGGGAGAACTGTAAAAAAAATTTATATGTGAATGTTCACATCTACTGCTATGACACTAGTTACAGCCTCTCTTTCCCAAAATTACAAGTGGGCAAAGCTGATCCTTTTGTCACCTGACTTCAGACACACCAAATTAAATCCTTTTCTGTAAATCAGATCTAGTATTGCAAACTGGTTTAGCTTTTGGTAGGGACAGAAGTATGGGAAAGGGCCTTATCAAACCAACAGCCACTGTACTAAAGAGGCAGCCCTAGGCAGGAGGGCCTGCAAGCTAGGGGTCCCCCCCAATCATGTGCTACAAGTGATAGATCCCTTTTGATCCCTGCCTTCTAACTGTGATAAGTGTGAAAAGAATTTTCAGTAAAAATGGTATGTTTTGCTAAAAATTGTCCTTGAGAAATTGAAGTACTAAGTCTAAGATCATCCCAACATTAAGGCCATGAAACATATTTGAAGTCAGGAGAAACGTGGGTTTCAGTTTTAACCCAGGATACAGGGGTCTGAACCTCTGCAAATTTTAAGGAAGATATTTTTTCCCCCAAAATGCGTACATAGTAATGATATCTTAGGAGCATAAAACATTGGCTTCTGTGGATTAGGGACTATTCCCCAAAAGAGAGTTTGTTAACTACATATTTATAGTAACATTTGAGAAAGTTGTTGGTACCTATTCTTTATGCTTAAGAACTGAAGAGGGAACTCTGGTGTATGCATATGATCACCTTCCTGAGGCTAAGCAGAGCTCACCCTAGGTTTAATGGATGTTCTCTTTGATTTGCTTGTTTTCTGAAGAGAAGCTGAAGTTGTTCTTGCCATTAGTGACCTTAAAATTGCCAAGAGTTAAGAAGTGGGAAGATAGAGAGATTCTATCTAGTGGATGAGAAAGCAGAATTACAGAAAGTAAGTGCGAAATGGAGGAAAAATGTCAGGAAGCCCTGTCACCATCAGGCAGTATCACAGAAGCCTATCCCCTTGGAGTCAGGGCCCCAAAGGATTAAGGTTCATCCATTCTTCTGTTGATCCACTTTCATAGGCAGATGCCAGTAACTTCCAAGTTTACATGAAAGCCCACACTGCTAACGACATCAAAGACTGAGGCACGAGAGAGCATAACCTCAGCATGTCCCAGTCATGTCAACATGTGATGAGGTGGCAGCAGCCAGTAATTCTGTGGGTCACAAGAGTATAGTACTGGAAGCTGGGACCCTGCAAATTGTATGGTCAAGGAAGAGCAGATCCTCATTTCCACATGAACCTGGAGGAGACTAGGCCTCGTGAGGAAAGCAGGCTCTTCCCATGGCCTCATAGCTCTGCGGGCACCCTTCATCTCCTCCCAGGAAGCTTTATTCCCATGGTCGTAATCTAACTTGACCATCACACAAGGAAGTTGTCTTCTCCGAGGAATGTGGTTGTGCATGGCGCCATCCTTTCTCCAAGACCAAAACTCCAAATTTGGAAATGAGATTCAGTGCTGGGCAAGGTCATAGCTAAAAAGACATGTTCTACCTCCACATCCTCCAACTCTGTTGGCTCTCCAGAGCCCACTGAGATTTGTACACATTCCTCAGCAAGGCCACAACTCCTGCCCGCCCAGGACCAGGTCCAAAGTCCATGTAACAGAAAGGGGAGGGATGTTCTTGAAGAATTCAGTTATGGTTTTCCGCTTGGGTTGGCTGTAGCACAATCCTTACAGACTAATGGGAGCATCAGTTCCACGGCAGCAGCATCTATCTGGTATCAGCAGCACAGATGTGTGACTTAAACTGTATCAGAGAAAAACAAGTGGTCAAGATTGCCCACCCAACAACTTTCCTGAGTCTTGGCTCTCATGTCCAGTGGGCTAGTTTTCAACTGTTTGAGGCTCAGAGCAATCCCAAAAACCTGTGCAGCATTGGCACAAAGGTGGTAGCACAGATGCCAACTGACGTGTAGGTGACAAACTTGTAAGGCACTTCAATCTCCAGTCTCCGTCTGGCCTCCTTGTTCCTGGTGACCACCTTGAACCACGAGTACAATACTTGCAGGGAGAGATTTTGTACAAGTTGACGCACCAAGAGGATCAACACAATTCCCACAATAAATTTGGTCAGACCCAAAACTAACATGTCAGTGGTGAGCGGTGGAATGTTCTGAATGACAGGGAGCGATTCCGCGGGCTTGGACACGAGCTGAAAGAAATGATTGATCCAGAACCCTATGGCCACCCCGGCCCCTGCAGCCAGAATGGTGGTGGTGTCCGCCCGGGTCGGGCTGTAGTAATCAGACACAGGGTAATTGTAGCACAAGAAGAACGGCACGACGAGGACGCACACGGGGAAAAGGGGGCTGGCTGAGTCCAGGCAGTCGATGAGGGTCCAGGCAGGGTAGGTGAGGACAATGAGGAACACGGTGATCAGGACGCCACCCAGCACATCCTGTGAGGAGAGAGAACAACGGTGAGTGCTTCCTTGGGGTACAGCTCTAATTTTGAGCCAAAGATGATCGATTTGATATTGAAAATACAATTTCTGCCCTGTTACCTTTCACAGTACATGCTCAAAGAACAAAAATAGGAAGAAGTGCACATAACCATGTTATTCATGTTACATATTTTCTTCCATTTTTTTTCCTGCATTTTAGAACTAATTTTGTCTTCCTTCATAAATGCCTATAATCTCATGGTTCTTTTAGTCTTGTTTGTTACTTAAATCTTAAAAGTATTCCAAAACTTATATCATAAATATTGTCATGGTCTTCAAGAGGCTGCCATCCTTGGGGGCAGGCAGGGTTGGGGCTGCAGGCTGGCTGGAGGGGGCAGGTAGCTTCTGGGGGAGCCACACTGACAGCAAGCAGAGCATAGCATCTTCAAGCAGCAGGGGTGGCATGTCATATGTGCAGGTGGATTGAGAAGACTCTTTGGAAATGGTGGAGTCCAAGCTCACCTTGCTGGACTTGGACCACTGCTCTGTCTTCAGAGACCCAGTTTCAAACAGCTGCATACAATTTCATTGAGCTGCTGTACCATGTTCTCCCTGATCCCATTCTTTAGGACATTTTAGATTGAAGAACATTTCTTTCTTTCCTTTCCTCCTCCCTTCCTTCCCCGCTTAAAATATCATGAATTCCTTGATGTCACACCTTTTCTTCTTCCTTTAGTTTTCTCACTGCAAAATTTATTAGAAGATGAAGTCTTCATGGAATCAATAGACCAACACAGTTAAGTCAGAGAACTGACATCTTGCTATGGTTTTGTCTCAGATTTCATGTGGACTATTTTGGAAGTTTACAACTGAAACATTTAAAACATGTTTACAACTGAAACATTTAAAACATGTTTCCTAACACACTGGAAAACACCAAAAAGCAATACACATGCTTTGTAGAAAATCTGGAAATCTTTGAAAACCATAAGAAAAACAGATCTGTGGTTGTGCCACTGAAATTAAGCACTGTCTATGCTTTGGCATATTTCCTCCAACTTTATTTTCATAGATATGGGTTAGATGAATAGACGTAGATATATTGGTATTAGAATCCTAAGCATTGCTTTTTTAATTTTACCACTAAAAAGTTTATTTAACAAAAAGTTTAATATGAAAATGTACATGGTCTGATTTTTATGTCATAGTTAAACAGGCCCTCAGGAGAGGGGACATAGATTTCTCTGCTGGATAACCATTATTTATACTCATTCCAAGGCTTCAAACATGATCACACCATTTCCCTGCATAACCACCATTCCAGTATTGTTCTGTTGCCCACGAGTTGCCATCTCCACATGCTCATCTATCAGGAGATTCATAAAGGGGTGAAATCCCTGCAATGTTCCATGGACATGTCTGCTACCACTTAATTTCTTTCTTTTTTTTTTAAAGAGAGAATTTTTTAATATTTATTTTTTTTTAGTTCTCGGCGGATACAACATCTTTGTTTGTATGTGGTGCTGAGGATCGAACCCGGGCCGCACGCATGCCAGGCAAGCGCGCTACCGCTTGAGCCACATCCCCAGCCCATGCTACCACTTAATTTCAATGATAACTTCTTGTCCATAATTCTTTCAGCTTGAGAGGGTGAGCTTGGCTCATGTTGTCTACTCTGTAAGCCCAGAGATGCTTTGAAACGGCAGGCTCGTTTTTTTCTAGTAACTTCATTCTGTGTGTGTGTGTGTGTGTGTATGTGTGTGTATTATTGGGGATTGAACCCAGGAATAACTCTACCACTGAGTTACATCCTAATCCTTTTTTACTTTTTATTTGAGACATGGTCTTGCTAGGTTGCCCAGGTGGACCTGGAACTTGCCTCAGCCTCCCGAGTTGGATTACAGGTGGGCACCATCTTGCCTGGCTTAACATTTTATTTCTTGCACTTCTGATGGCTGGGAAGCCTGAAGTTAAAGTGCTGGCATTTAGTGCCTGGTGAGGATCTAACAGCTGTGCCCTCACAAGGTAGAATGGATGGGAGGGCAGAGAAAAGAAGGTGAACACTATGTCCTCAAAGATCAAAGTGAGGGAGAGCAAAAAAAATAAGCCTCACATTATTTTATTTTTGCGTATTGCCTATAAAACGCCACCTGATGTGGGTAAACCCTGGGAGAGAATTGGGTCTTAGAAATAAACACTGAGACTGCAGCACATTTCACAGATTAGTGAGCATCCATTCATTCTGTCAAAGCCACATATGAGTGCCTACTGTATGCTAGACAGTACACTAGAGAATGCTGAGTGAACTAAGTAAATACAATCCCCACCCACGCAGCTTGCAGACTGGTGCACAACCAGTCACTGTTACCTAGGTGGGCAACCAACGGGACAGCCTGTGGATCCTGATGGTCTCTCGGGGAAGGACAGGAGAGTTAAGCGCCGGCAGGAGCCTACAGTCCTATGTACTTCACAAGGACAACACCTTGCTAGCCATGTGCAGCGCTTGCTGGGTGACATCAGGACTAGATTTTCACTTTCAAAAGACTGTCTTGGCTGCAGGGAGGACAGATGGGAAGGCCACCTCCTGGGGTGGTGGTAGGGGGAGTCTCACACCATCCATCTACACGTTGCCTCCAGTTTTCCAACGGCACACAGCTGCTGTCTAAGCTTCTAGCATGAGATGATGCCGCCTCTCAAAGGCCACCTTCTACTTATTTGTTGGTTGTTTCTTGGGCACCTACGTCTTCCTCCCAACAGCTTTGGATTTCTCTGTGGGGATCCAGGAGGTTCTGGGAAACCATGGGATCGGAGCACGGTGACCTGGGAGGCCACCTGGTGCTCCACACCACCAATCACAGAGCAGTGGGCAGGGTGGTCACAGGGCCTCCCAGTCCAGTCAGAGTGATGTCGGGGCTTTCAGCTGGGATTCTTGGACAGCGATGTTCTCTCAACCTCTGAACACTGTGTCCTGTGGATTACGATTCTTGACTTAGACATTTATTTCACTCTGCTCTCCTGGCTCTCTCTGACCCCTGCAGTCTCACTATTGGCTTCCTCTTTCAGCTCTTCTTCTTTCCACATCCTGAATGTGGGCATTTCCCCAGATTCTATCTTCAAGCCTCGTATGTTTTCTCTCTTGAAGAGCTTATGCAGGTCCATGCGCTCACCTCTCCATTCTTTATCACCGCGACTCTCAAGTCTATCTTTGGGTGTCTCTAATTCTAATCCTGCCTTGTTTTTTTTTCTTTTTTTTCTTCTTTTTGGTACCAGGGATTGAACCCACTAAGCCACATCCCCAGCTCTTTTTTATTTTGAAACAGGGTCTCACTAAACTGCTTAGGACCTCACTCGATTGCTGAGGCTGGCTTGAATTTGAGATCCTCCTGCCTCAGCCTCTCGCTGCTGGGATTACTGGCGGCCCCTGCAGTGCCCAGTTTAGACCTGCATTTTAAACTTAAATGCTAAATAAGTCCGCATGGATGACCTGTCAGCTCCCCAAACCAACTTGTCGAATATAAAAATTACCTAAGTCCTCTTCCTGCAAAAAATGGTGACAGAAAGGAGCAGTTTATGAAAAAGGAAATGTAAATGTCTCTCAAATATTTAAAAAATATCCCTACACTTACTCATAAAACACATGAAAATTGAACTACACTGAGGGTAAATTAAAGTTTATGTTCCCATAAAAGTTGGTAAATGCATGTTTATAGCAGTTCTGTTAATAATCACTCCCAAATAGAAACAACCCATGCCATTCTGTGGGTGAGTGGGTAGCTAAGCTGTGGTATATGCATACAGTGGAATACTTCTGAGCAATGAAAAACATCAAACTACTAATGTGTGCGACAGCTCTGGTGAAGCTTCAAGCAAGTTATGTTGAGCAGAAAAAGCCAAGACCCAGGGGTCACATACTGAGCAGTTCTATTTATATATCATCTCTAAAAGACAAAACCATAATGATAGAGAATGGATCAGGGGTTTCCCAGGGGTCTAGATGGTCTTAGATGTGGCTTCAAAGGGGTGATATGCAGCAGCTTTGGGGTGATGCAACTGTTCTGTACTGTGGTGGTGATGGCAATAATATACATGTGTTAAAATTCATAGACCTCTATGCCAAAAGTCAATTTTAAAATACACATGTTAAAAATTTTATTCTAAAATTTAAAATCCCATTTCAAACAAATAAATGAAGATTACAAAGCCCGTGGGCTCTTCTGTTGCACTGAATGACACAATGGAGTCCCCACTGCTATGTTTGATCAAGCAGCTCTGGACACCTGGAGCTCCCAGCATGCCCGTGTCCCATCTCCCTCTTCCACACAAACTATGCTGGGAACACCTATCCCTGCTGAACAGAATCCAGGAAGCTAGCATTCTGTTAATGAAACTGTATGTTCATTAATCACTTGTCTATAAAATGGTGCGTGCTTTATGAGGATGAACTTGTTGATAGCTTTAAAAATTACTCATCCATTTATCCTCTGACCCTCAACCTTATTCTGGGTCTCGATCTTAGTGATACAACTGCCCATGGCTGAAATGGGACATTTTCCAGTTATCCATTGTAATACTAAATACTGTTTGTAATAAGAAGATACTGTGTGTATATAACAAGTATCATAGCAATACTGTTTGTAGTAACACGTTCCATCTATAGAAGGACGGTTAAATTTAATGGTGGTGTATTCACAGCATGGAATACTATGCTATAAAAAGAAAAAGGACACTCAGATGCTTTTTAAAAGGCAAGATGCAGGAAGTGTGGATAGTACATTATCATTTTCATTGAAAAAAGCTGAGGGAAGTTATAGACGCATTTGCACTTGAATACACAAAGGGGTATCCTTGGATGGCTGGGAAGGAGGCTTTTCACAAGATACTGGGCTAACCTTTTTGAATTTTTTATCAAGTGGTTGTGTTACCTTCTTTAAAAACATAGGTGAAGCCAGGTGCAGAGGTGCACATCTGACCTCCCAGAGACTCAGGAGGCTGAGGCAAGTTCAAGAACAGCCTGGAAACATAAGCTGTCTCCAAATAAATAAAAACAGGCTGGGGATGAAGGTCAGTGGTAGCGCACCCCTGGGTTCAATTCCCAGTACCAAAAGAAAAAAAAAAAGCTATGTAAACACTTTAACATTATGATATTAGTAATAAGTTAAAAAACAAAAGCCTTGTCACCCTGTGAAATGAATCTAAAGAACAGAATTTTAATGCTACTGAAGTAGCAGTCATAAACCTTATAAAAATAAAATCAGTGGGTGAGGTGGTATACACTAGTAATCCCAGCTTCTCAGGAAGCTAATGCAGGAGGATTGCAAGTTCAAGGCCAATCTTGGTAACTTATTGAGACCCTGTCTCACAATAAAAAGGGGTGATGGGTACAGCTCGGTACCCCTCAGTTCTGTGTTTTATAGATCAGTCAAAATCCAGGGGCCCGGATGCTGAGCAGTGGCAGAATCCCCTACAGCCTCTGGCGGGTCAATTTTGCTCATATCATGTTGTTTCAAAGGCCCTGGTTTCAATCCCTAGTACCAAAAAGACTGAAGAAAATAAAACATAAGTGAAATAAAATTCTACCTCTCCTTCTCCAAACAGGACTTTCCTTTTAAACCCTGCAGGAGAAGGGATCTCGGGAGCCTAGGTGCATCCTCTGCATAGCAGGGCCTGATAAAATGTCACCAGCTGGGGACTGAGAGCACTTTGCGTATGTTTGAAGGGGGCACTGATTTCAAAGGAGGCAGAGCCAGCCATAATGAACTCAATACAGCAAACAAGCCTCTCTCCTCCGGCAGGGGAGAGAAGATTCTGCTACTCAGATGTCTCCATGCACTCAACTCAGGTCTGAGACCCGAGGAATTCAGAGAGGGTGAAAGAGTTATTTTGACTGATCTATAAAACACAGAACTGAAGAATGCTGTTTCGAGACTCCTCTGGTAGAGGGACCTCCAAATGGAAGAATCCATCCTTCCTCGTACCTCTAGGCCACCGTGCCCCATGTGTGCACAGTGACAACGCCAGACATTATGGAACCTCCTGGCAGTGGAAAGCCAGAACATCTGTATCCCTCGCGATGCCCCTGAAGCTGAGTCAGTCATGGGACACAACTGCTTCGCTTGATGGGCAGCTGAAGCCATGATGGTATCATGGGGACCAGCAGGGAAGGGCTCAGGCTCAGGTGCCTGGTAGGGGCCCAGATGCAGAGCATCGGCAGGATCCCCTACAGCCTCTGGTGGGTCAGTTTTGTTCATATCAAGTTGTTTCAAAGGCACCTAGAGGACAGTGGGCAACATCAAGGTGCTGGAGGTCACAACCTCATCAGAGAGCAAGGGATCCAGCAAACCACCCCAACACCATGACATCAGAGGGCAGGTGGGACCAGCTAAGTCATGAACACATGTGAGACTTGCATGGAAAACTCCAGAAATATTGTGTGTAGAATTTCTGAAGATCTCCAGAGCTCAGGATGATTCTGTGGTTGCTCAGAGAATTCATTGTACCTTTTTTGGAGGGAGTGGGGGAGTTAGAGATGGCACCTGGGGCCTTGGGCATTTTAGCCAAGCTCTCTCCCACTGAGCCACAGCTCCACCCCCTCATCTGATGATGTCCCCAGTCTGACTGATGGCAGAGGCTCAGACCTCAGAGTGCTATCAGGTCACTCCTGCCTC